ATTAAGTAACATTAATTCATGACTTGTTAATGTATCATTATGACTTGTCTTGGAGGGGCACATCTTTAAAAGGTTATCAATTACACATGTTCTATACATATTCAGCTCATCTAAATCAGATATTTGGTGCTTTTCGGTGCTTGTAAAGAAGTGGAAGAGCAGAGGTCCTGTGGCTGCATTTGGATGGAGAAGGAACTGAACAGTAGGAGGAAAGTTGACATTTTGAAGGGGCAATAGTGACCCAAAAGAAGAGCAAGAACACAAGACAAACGTCTGACTGCAGTGCATTATTATGATATAAATATAGTAAACCAATCCATAACATAACCAAAGCGATAACCATCATCTCTATGCTAACACTGATTTTAATTTGGAAAATTGCACCTGCTTAATGATTACGTTATTGTAGGACGGCAGCAGTGGAATCACTCAAAACAGAATGAGATGAAATTGTTTTTAATTATGAATGCATCATTGTGTGTTGGATGAGTTAGGTTAAACGTAAATATTGCAAGAAATCCACTGTCGTTCACTGTTGTTTGTGACAACTGCAGGTGGCAAATTTATAAACAATTTTACATTGTGCCATTTTCATACATCTTGCTTCTAGAGCATGTTTGATTTAGTTTACCCCAAAGTGTTAATTAATACATTAACTAACATGCAGGAACTAACATGTAATTAAGTTAGTGTTATTCATGCAGTAGTTCATATGACTCGTGTCGTAGTTAAGTTAGTTCTTCATTAGTTCTTGATTAATACATATCTTAACTCATCATTAGTTCATAGTCAAGTAATTATTAATTCAGGTATTAGTACATGATAATTCATGTACTGTTATTGTAAAGTGTTACCATCAATTGTATTATAACTTCTTAAATACGTTAGGTATTGTGTCTATATTATATTTGTATTTTTGCTGAAGAGGGGTGATAAAATCACAGAAAGCCAAAAGCAAAGATTCATTGTGCTGTACTCTGTTTATTTCATGCAGCCACAACAATAAACTCTCCAGATAAGCAGCAGATCCAGTTTTTTCATTCTGTCATCCAGTAATACAACACAACATATCAGTGGTCAGAGTTGAGCCGGCTACAAATACATAAAGCATATGGATTCAAAATTCAAGTATGTATAACTTGCAGTTCATGTTACAACAAGGCATTTCTGGACCTAGAAGCAGCATTATTTTGTATGATTGTTTATTTTGCACTTTATCAGAAGCTTTATCAAAAAAATAAATAAAAAAATACATGCAGATACAGATACATGTGCAAAATTGCAAGCAGTAAGTTGATCACTTAATGGCCACTAGTGTTTCTAATAAAATTCCATGACATGCTACATTTTATGTGTTAATCACAGCAAAGATTGCTTGATTTTGCACATGCTTTAAATGGTTTCCTTTACTGCAGAAATCACAGTCAGAGAAAACTCGAATATAATGATTGATGCGCACTTGACTCGTGAGATGGCTTAGCAGCATACATACATTGCCGGGTGCTGTTGGTGTAATGCGGATACTCTACTTGATTGCATACCCCGATCGAAATGCAGTCAAATACGCTAGTCTGATTATGTCCTTAAATTAGTTCGAATTAGGCTTATACTTATAAGCTTTCACTTGTACATCCGTACAGGAAATCAGCATGCAGTGTATCTGGTTGCCATGACAACTTCATGCACTTGCTGCTGCTCAAGAATGTGCTTGAATATTATATATGCATTTAAAATAATTTTAGGTTTTAACATGAATATTTAGAATCAGACGCAACATGTAATATTTTTTTTTACAATAATACTTTTATATATTAGTTCTAGATAGCATTGCTGTTCATCATGTGTTTTAAGTACCAATGTGTGGACGTTCTCTGGTAGAACATGATTGTGGGCCCCCAAAACCAGTGGCCTGAGAATATGTCCCACAGTACATGCTAAAGAAAATTACATGATGCTGCACACAGTTGCACCAAGAGCTGCACCAGCAGCTGCACCAGCAGCTGCACCAAGAGGACCAAGACAGAGTCCAAGAAATCCACCAAGAATCCCACCAAATACTGATCCTAAAGTTGCGTTCGCAGATACAGATGCTGAGGTGGGGTATTTATGCTCAAACTGCTCAAGAAATTCCCTCTCTTCCTTCTCTTGTCTGAATCTCTGAGCATCTGCAAACATCTGATTACTGTAATATCCTCCTCCATTCTGCTTTATCATTGTGTCAATCATCTGCAGCAGATCATTCACCTGCTCTCTGTTATTCTCATCTTTATTATCAAAGACGTGAAATCTGCCTCCACACTGCTGAACTACTTGTCTTAATATACTGTTCTTCTTAATTTCATCCTCTATGGTCTCTTCTAGCTGATCTCCATGAGTGAAGAGAATGATGGAGTATTTTAACACCTCCTCACCAAACATCACCTTAATCTGCTGAGGAATCTCCTCCTCCTGCTGAGTGAATCTATCCACAGGAAACACAATGAGAAGAGCGTGAGGTCCAGGACTGGATAAATAAACACTTCTCGCTATCTCTTTCACTAAATCTCCATGTTGCATGTGTGTGTCAAAGAATCCAGGAGTATCAACTACAGACACTGATCTGCCTGAAACAGTGGTGTGTTTATCTGAACATTGACTGGTTACTGAACGCATTTTCTTTGCAGATTTAAACACATTCTCTCCCAGGATTGTGTTTCCAGCTGAACTTTTCCCAGCACCAGTTTTACCCAGAAGAACAATCCTTCTGGATGAACCACTGTCAGCAGCTGTCTGTTGTCTGGTTAGTCTTCCTCCTTCTGATGCTGTATAAAATACAAAACAGATGTAAGCAGGTAGTCATTTTGAAGAGACTCAACTGAAGTCATTACAATGTGTTGATATGTTACACCTATTAAAAAAATCCAATATTAGCACATTTAACTTTACAGCCATTTAGTAGTTTTTTTTTTTTTTTCAATTTCAAACCTGAATCCTAAAACAAAAGAAAAAAAAAATGTTTGGGTTCTCCTGTCTTGAGTAATGCTGCGTATTCAGTAAACAAACAAAATATATGCACATTTTAAAATGTTTTTTATTTTTTAAACAGTGTAGCTGTGCATTTACATATGAAACCCAAGATAGAGTTACAAAACTGAAATTAAGTTTACTAACAATATAATGCACAAATCAATATCTGATTTTAAGACTCACCCTTTAACCCCAAAGAGTCCTGGATCATTTGTATGAATAGAAGTTTAACTTGCATTTTAGTAGGTCCTTTCTTGTTGTTGAACACATGGTATCTCTGATCATATTTCTGAATAAGTTTCTTCAGTGCTTCATTCTCATTGATGAATTCTTGTATTGTCATGTTTCTGTCTTCCAGTTCGTCTCCTCTGGTGAAGATGATACAGGTTTTCTTCAAGCGCTCTTCTCCTAACAGCTTCTCAATCTTTTCCACAGTTTCTCTCTCTTCTTCAGTGAATCTGTCAGCTCTGAGGACCAGGATAAATGCACAAGGACCTAAGTCACATTCCTTTTCATTTATAAAACGCTGCTTCTCATCTTCATTCATGTCTGTGTCACAGAATCCTGGTGTGTCATAAACAGTGACTGAAAGCTCATCAACAATTCCAGATTCAACAGCAACATCTCGTGTGACTGAAGTGGAATCTGTCTCTGTTGTGAAAGCTCGTCGCCCCAGTATTGTGTTTCCTGTTGAACTCTTCCCAGCACCTTTTGTCCCCAGTAAGACCAGGGTAAAACATCCACTTTTCGATTTTTCATTCGTCATTTTCGATGTGTGGCCTAAAACTAAATAATAAAAAATAAACAATGAAACAGTCATTTATAATTTATGGAAATGTTTAGGAAATAAGCATGGATTCTTAACAAATATATACAAATGTATGTTGTCATTCTTTCAATGCAAAGGTGTTAATTAATATTAAAACTTAAATATTTGTTTTATTTAGGCAATCTTTCACGTGAAGATTTTTTTAAATGAAAACAAAAAAATAATGGTTTGCCTATCATGTCAAGTAATAGCATTTTCTATCAAAGTTTCAGGTTTTCCTTGGCATGCATTTAAATCAAAGCTGTTTACCTGAAATTGTTCACAAATGAACCGTTCACATTTAAAAACGAGACACACCAACAGTGTTCACAGAAAGTGTCTAAAATGTCATGCATTAAAGCTGATTCTAACATAAAAAATAAAATCGTAGGTTTCATTTGCTTTTCTAATTACAATTTGCTGAGCAAATCAAAACAATGTAATCTACAAACTGACATTCTGACAGCACTGATTTCAATAATGTCTTGAGAAATTAAGAATAACTGCCAAAAGTTCACTTTTATCCACGGTAAGAAACATCACATTTGGCAGAAAGAACAGACAAATAAGACTGTGTAAGGTTTGAACTCAAGGACAGATGAAACACATTAAAGAACTTGCATGATTCGCACCTCATCATGATTTTTGCTAAACAGTGTCATCTTCAATTGGGGACAATTTAAAGGATGTATGGTTTTCAGACCTGAATATATCGGGGGAAAAAGGTCTGTTTTTAGTCTTCAATCCTTTTGCGTCAGATGCTGTCAAGGCCTTGACATTTGAGATGAACTCTGACAGCACATTTAGTGACTGAATAAGAGTAAGAAGTTGATTAAGTAATATGTGACTGAGTGAAGGCTTTTTGTTCTGTTTTAATGATGTACAACGTTTTAAATTGTTCAGGGGGTTTTGTAATTTAAAATTGTTGTTAAAAGGGTCATATGACAACCAGACTGGGTGCCAAGATGTCTGTGAACGACCCCCCAGGCCACCAGTTCCCATGGCAACCAGGACACCTCAGCCATGTTACAACTTTCCACCTGGGACACCACCACTGAGTCAGAATAACATCTTTAGAGTTAATCTAAAATGGCGCTGATGGTTTCTGCTCAGGTGCTTAACTGACTCATTTCCCATAGCTTCATTCCTTGTTTCTCTTACGGTTTCACTCATCCACTTTAACTCCCCTTTGTATGTATGCGTGAGTGTGTGTATGCTTGTTAGACTAGTTTGTGTTAGTGTTAAGTTAATAAAACCTTTGTGCACAGATTACACATTTTTCCGATTCTGTCACTGCTTGTAAATCGATGTCCCTTTTATAGTGCTTTTCATGATACACATCGTTGCAAAGCAGCTTCACAAAAACTTTCTACATTTCTACATTACATTTAAAAGTAGTTTATCAGTGGTGACTATGTCAAGGTGATATCCATATGGCAGAAATGTACAGTAAAAATCATGCAGGTAGTTAATGAAAGTGGACGATTATGAATCGGTGGTTAAGATTTATTTACAACACTGTGCCAGAACAGTACAAGCCACATGTTCAAGTTTGTGCAGCGCATTTAACAGAGGAGAATTTCCTGAACCTGGAGAGTACAAGGCTGGCTGAGCAGAAAGGCTGTTTCTAAGAAAAAGGATCAATTCCAACTTTGCTAGGACAATCTGGCACTTCTGAATTAGATCCCAAAAGTAGCCTATGTTTAATTATTTACTATTGACTGTTCAAATGTGGAGGTTGGTCACATGTATAGTGTAAGATTTGAAGAACCACAGACACTTTAATCTTCTGAGATACGGACAATACAAATTCAGTGTATTAACATACAGGCATCTGTTTCGACATCTTACTGAGAGAAGATGCGAGGAAAGCCCCTTTCTCACCTATCCTGTTCCTCCACTTCCTTCCCCTTACCCATCTCCCCTCACTCCACTCACTCAGAATGGTCAAGATCAAGATATAATGTTCTACATGAATGCAAGTGTTATTCACAGTCATGTTTGGTATCATTTGAATTGTCTCTGTGTGGCTGGTACAATGGTCTCAATCTTACGAGAAGTAGACTAGAAGGTAATACAGATCCTACGCCAGTGTGTAGGCGAGGTATATTGAATCGCTGACACGAGAGAATAGTTTAGTCAAGCC